GTGGGGTGGGGTGGGGGGGGGGGTTTGGGGGGTTTTCTGATAAAATCTCAAAGTTAAAGGGGGGTTTTCTGATAAAATCTAAAAGTTAGGGGGGTAGGGAGGTTGATAAATTCTCAAAGTTAAAGGGGGGTTTTCTGATAAAATCTAAAAGTTAGGGGGGGGGGTATTTCTGATATTTTGATAGTTAAGGGTTTATTTTACAATCGTCCAAAGATAAGTGTTTTTTTTTTTTAATATTTACCCTACATTTTATTCATAGCTGATTTTATTTCTAAAATAAAATTTTAATGATCTAAGAGATATCTAAGCTTTTAATCAATTTGCATAGATCTTTTGGTTTAAACGATTAGGTCTTTAAATACTAAAACCGCACATATATAACGCGTAAATGAATTGGATTGGGAAAAAAATTTGTTGGATATAAATATTATATAATCATGGATTATTTAGGGCCTGTTTGGTTGGTTTATTTTGAAGGGGAAAGCTGTCACAGATGTCCCATCTGTGGCAGCTTTCAGTCACTTTCCCTCTCAAAAACGGGCAACCAAGCGGGCCCTTAGGGACTGGATCAATTGTGTTCGTCCAATTTTCATCAGAGCAACGCCTCTTCCCGCACGTTCCACGATCTACACGGTATTATTAGGGGCGTACATAACAAAATACCAACAAAAACCTTAAGACAAGTAATGATGTAATAAATAAATAAATAAACTTTTGTGCTCATTGTTAAACTTCGTAATATATGAAGCAAATTTCGCCGTAGAATATTAATCTGAAAATTTTTAGTTAATTAACTGTCACAGACCTCTCTCTTTCCTGCACTCATCAGGAGGCAACCTCGCACCTTCACAGTAATTAAGCTACATGATAAACAAGTCCTCTGTACCACAACACGAGGAAAAAATAACTACCAAAAACATGAAACACCTTTTCTTTCTCAAACTCCTTGAATTAAAACACCTCAATGAGTTACGACTTCCAAATTTAAAAATAAAAATAAAAAATAAACCCACTACTTCAAACCTCCCCCTGACCCTCTCAGAACCAAATGGAGGCCATTACCTCAACACCTTCCCACTGAAAGAAAGAAGAAAAGCTCTGATCTCACCTGAAGCTTGCGATCGGCGATGGCAACTGACAGAAAACAGCACAAGAGGAATTGGTGCCTTTTAGCTTTGGTTGTTCTTCTATGGAGTCCGCTGACATCTTCAGCTCTTGAAACGTTTAGTAGCATCACTGCCCGTGAGGAGATCGCTGACGAAAACTTGCGAAACATCCTTACGTCTCGCCTTCGTTCCTTCTTCGATCCTGGAGAGTCTGCCAGCACTCGAGTTTGGCCAGTAAGATGCATTTCATTTCCATCGTCTTCATCTTTGTTTTTGTTTTTAATCTTAAAGTAGCGTTTATTTTATGAGATTGAATTGGTCTGGGGGTTGAATTGAGCAGGATATGGAGTTTGGATGGAGAGTTGTGCTTGGTTCTGTCATCGGATTCCTTGGTGCTGCTTTGGGAAGCATTGGAGGGGTCGGTGGTGGTGGAATCTTTGTTCCTATGCTCACTTTGATCATCGGCTTTGATCCTAAGACCTCAACAGCCATCTCCAAATGTAAGGGGGTGAAAAAATTATTTTCAGGGTTATTTGATAGGTTGTATGGATATGAAACCATCGTTTTTATAGTTCTGTACTCGTTGCAGGTATGATAATGGGCGCTGCAGGATCAACAGTTTACTACAATTTGAGGCTGAGACATCCATCGCTCGACCTGCCAATTATTGATTATGATCTTGCACTGTTATTTCAACCTATGCTTATGTTAGGGATCAGCATCGGAGTTGCCTTCAATGTTATTTTTCCGGCTTGGATGGTCACGGTCTTGCTCATTATCCTCTTCCTAGGTAAACTGTTCTATGTTCCCGTGATTTTTCCTTTCAAACAACAGTTTCATCAGACATAGTACCTTGTGTTTTCAAGTCATTCTATAATTGAGACGCACACCAACTCGTCAAAATTGCTACCAGATGTTATATATGATTCAGAGATTCTTCATTTTATATGTGATCAGAGCGTTGCACATTAACCTTTCTCCTGTGCAGATCAACAGAAAATAGTTCACATCTCTGTCATCTGATATATCCTTGGAAATATTTACTTACATGTGCAAAGTTCATCATGTAGGACTGTACTTTCTCTTTCCTTCTACCTATATCCACTTTTTCTGGTTCTCATATGATATGTAAATCTGCTGATATCTCCTTCAAATATAACGTGCTTCTGTTCATTCATTCGGCGTTTCAAATCTACATATCTGGTCTAAATAATGGAGTTACATAATCGGTGACTGCAGGTACATCAACCAAAGCCCTCTTCAAAGGTATAGAAACGTGGAAGAAAGAGTCCATAATGAAAAAGGTTATTTCCTTACCTCTGCTCATAAATCTGTCTAGGACTTTCCAGGCATCCAACTTCATAAGAATCTCATGAGATATAATTCTCCAGGAAGCTGCTAGGCTGATGGCATCGTCAGCTATGAACGGTTAGTCAAGGGAAACCCCACTTCTTAGCATTCTTTAGAATTCAGTCATCAAAACAATTACACGCATCTGTCAATTTCAAACTTTGTTTTAAGTTATAACACCATGAGAGCAGTTTTGAAGATATCCTAGTTATCAATACACGACACCATAATGGGATATAACACTGACACAAACACAAGATACCAGCTTCAAAAAATATGGGACATGTATACATGAGCGTTCACCGCTACGCATATGTATACGTACATTATATAAATATCTTGTAACTATAGTATAGAAAATTGAATAAATAGATACCTTGCTTTTGATCTCAGAGAGCCCAGAGCTAGAATATAAGCCAATTCCGAGTGGTTCAACTGCCAATATGCAACTCAAGGCTTCATCAGATGAAGAGGCAAGTATTAATAATTTTCAGTTAACTTACTCAAAAATTACATCTAACAGGCAGCACAATGGTTTTCAGGTACCAGTCAAGGACAATATCTATTGGAAAGAGCTGACAGTGCTCTTATCCGTGTGGATAGCTTTTCTTGCTGTTCAAGTAGTTAAGGTGGGATTTCATTTCTTTTATGATGTTCAAGAAAAAAAGAACAGTCAATGTATAAGCTTTAGATTCTTTATGTGATCTGTCTTCAACTGCCTTATAAAGATGACGAGTTTTTTTTTCTCTGGCATATGTCTGCAGACTTACGCCACAAATTGCTCCATTGAGTATTGGGTTCTAAATGCCCTGCAGGTAAATTCTCTAATAAGGACTGAGCTCAATATTCTCTAGCGTATGATATTATTTCCTTAAAACATGTGAGAAATAATAGTATCAATGATATGCTATTATCAGCACCTGCTACTTAAATCTAGGAAAATTTTCTATAATGCATTACCAAGAAGCAATAGATATATTAATGACGCAAGTTGTAGAAGGTTGGATGTGTGAGATGTAACATTATACCAACCAGATACATACACAGGGGATATTGGATGTGAACCGACAAATCGTTCGCCAAAATGAGCTGTCAAAAGATAGAACGCGATGCACCCTCTCCAATATGATTAACAGTGACTATTATACCAATTATTTCTCTCTTGATAGTTTATTTATAGGAATGAACTATTAACTCATACCTATCCGTCAATTGTCATTTATATGCACAAGGGAATTAAGAGAAGATAAATTAAGCAATATAATCAGATGGACTTCATTAGCACAGGAAGAAATGAATGGATAAATTCGAAACTGTTAGCTATCTGAATCTTTTTCCCTGCTCAAAACTCTAAGACTTGTACTAATATCAACCAAAAAGTCAGATCCAAAAACAACCACGCACAACCTCCATTATTGGATGCTCTATTTTCTAATTTAACAATGTTTGTAGTAGTTGTATGAAGTTGCACTAAGGGGCAAGGCTCCACAAGATATGTTAGGCATTGTAAAGAGAGAAAAAAATCATTTTCTACCAAGGATCAAATCGCAAATTCTTAAAACTGTATAATCATGCAGGTGCCTATTGCGCTTGGTGTGACCATTTATGAAGCTTATTGCCTTTGCAAAGGGAAAAGAGCTATTGCATCTAGAGGAAACCAAGAAGTGAACTGGAAAGTACACCAGCTTACTCTTTACTGTTGCTTTGGAGTATTAGCTGGTATCGTTGGAGGCTTGCTAGGCCTTGGAGGAGGTTTTATCTTGGGTCCATTGTTCCTTGAAATGGGTGTTCCTCCTCAGGTTCTTCCTTAGCAAATATTACAATACATACCCTCATTTACGCCTAATTTTTCATGAGACAAGCATCTTTTCTTGAACAGAACAAAAGAGCTCGACCATAAAGCATTCTGTTTAAGTTTTAACAGAAAGACTGGTTACTTGATAGTCATGTGCTGCCACGTTGTTCGTAGTTCAATATTTTCCTTGCCTGAGATGATAAGAACGGAGATAGGACTTCAATATAGATCAGGACATTCTCTATTGAGTCTAAGTGATGATACAGTTTTCATGGAAAACAGAATATTGATGCTCTTTCGTTTGTCAAAGAAAAATTCTGAAAAAAATATCAATAACTACACGCAAAAAACTATACCATATGAATCATTGTAAGCAAGAGTTACCAAAGTTCTTCTGTAAATATCTATTCCAAAACTCTTGCAGGTTGCAAGCGCAACATCAACATTTGCAATGACATTCTCATCATCCATGTCAGTGATACAGTATTACCTTTTAGACCGCTTCCCTGTTCCATATGGTAAGTAAATTTCACCAACTTAACTTTTGGAAAATCCTGCAAAACTCATCTTCTAATCCCCATCAGAGAAATCTAACTTTTTGCTATTGCAGCTAGTTACTTTGTATTTCTAGCTACAGTTGCTGCCTTCACTGGCCAGCACATTGTGAGGAGGTTGATAGTTTTACTAGGCCGAGCATCACTGATCATCTTCATTCTGGCCTTGACCATCTTCGTCAGTGCAATCAGTTTAGGTATCACTTATCGTAATTTGCAAATTGATTAGAAGGTTTATGCCCAATATATCTTAGTATGATCATGTTGTTTTCATAATGATGGCAGGTGGCGTTGGTATCGCAAACATGGTAGAGAAGCTGGAGAGGAAGGAATATATGGGATTCGAGAATCTCTGCTACCACTCTTAGTACACGCCATCACTAATAGATAATTGGACTTATGTGATAATCAGTGGAAAATAGTGAAGTTTTTTGTAAGTTACGGAGCTTCAGTTTTGTAGAAATGGCAGCTGAGTGTTGAAACTTCTCATCTTTTGTCAAAGAGGATGGTAGAAGGTATTTATGTACAGAGCTATACTCTATTTACTATCGCATGGTAAGTGCAATCGTGTCTTATGAAACTATGAGTGACTAGGATGTGGGAAGGATACAGGAAGAATAACAACACTTTATATATTCCAGAATTATTGGTTAAAAAAACATCTGCTTTTTGTTTCCCCACGTAATCTCTTTGATGATGTAAGATAACTGCATCCCTCTGCATAGGAGTCTGCTATATTTCTTTACTAAACACAGTGATTCATCTCTTCTACAAGTACCTTTTATATGTCAGTCAGAAATATATCCATCCAGATGAAGGTTATCCCTGACTTTTAGCTAAGTTTCCAATGTTAACATATATTTTGTCAAAGCTTTCCTTATGTGGTTGACAGTTGCACACATCAGCTCTGTTTAGGACCAGAAGATCCTGAATCTGCATTAGCTTCATTCACTTCACTCCTAATAAAATCATAAATCAGTTTCCTATTCCAACAGCGCTTCATGCACTATTTTCCATTGACTAAGGGCTTCCTGCTTATTGGGGCTATCGAGCTAAATCAAGTGGTTGCCAAGTGAATGGTAGATATAGCTCCATGTTAAATGAGCCATATCAAGGGTATTTATATGATGACCAAAAAAATATACAAAAGGGGAAGGGTTCACAGATATAGAATGTGCTGCCACTATATACACACTTCATTGATCCTCTTAGAAAAGTGACTGAATTAGTTATGACAGTTGTTCCCAGTATCCAATTAGACGAGGGCAATATTATTTCTTAATTTGGCAAAAATCAATAATAATGATTTATCACTACCAAGATTGCGAACAGATGCAGTAGTGCATAAATGGGTACAAGGAAATAAATTTGATGATGATAACAGTTTAAGACATCAGAATTGCAAGATGGTTTCACAAGAAAAGGGTTACAGATTTTAGTTGACACTAATTAGAGCAGCAAGTATGATGATGTAACAAGATTTGGCTTGTTGTCCATCTTCAGAACAGTCTTTGTGCTGGAGAAATGGTACACAAGATTGGTTGTGCGAACCTGGCTGTAATTTCGCTTGAGACTGGACAAACTGTGAGCCTAATTTTACACACACAACATATTAACACCAGCAATGAGATTTTTATATCACCTTCCTGTGTCCTCCGAAGGCCCAAATCTGCCAAAAACAAAAGGAAATAGAAATAAAAAAATTGGAATCATATTTAAAAATTTATTAGCCGTAGAACTTAAAGTTCTATTTTCATCATCCTAGTGTTAAGAGTTTATGACGTTCGATGAAATTGAGTTAATGTGGTTTAATGCAAATCTGGTTCAACTTGGACGGAGAAGTTACATGGCATGCAAGCAGATTACCCTAGAATTCAAAATATCTAAAAGCCTCCCAATGAAACCATGGAAGATTTCCAGTTAAGCCAGACCGAACTTCAACTGAAACTGTTCCCAAATTTTGCAAAAGTAGATGGGACTCCAGAGCTTCCTAATCTTCAATGTTAAGATAATAAGTTGATACATTAAGCCATTTAATTTGTTTCGAAAGCACACCACCTACTTGTTCTTTTGGCACTAGTTATGTAACTGTGGAGCTGCAGATGGAATATGATATGAAAGAAAAATGAGAAATGGAAAAATGCAATAAGGAGAATAAAATGCAACAAGGAGAACAAAGAAGGGGTTTATGGTTTATAGAGTTATTTAGAAGATTAACATAGGAGAAAACGCAATGGATCTAGCCGTGGGATGAGCCTCAAGAGGTGAAGGTTTATTAATGATGGTTTAGGTTTGCTTTTTTTATTTTTTATTTTTTTTTATTTTTTTTATTTTTTATTTTTTATTTTTTATTTTTTTTTGGGGGGGGGGGGGAGTTGAAGTATTTGAGCAGGTATTTAATTTTTCACATGAATTATTTTACCTTTCTTAGCTTTTTCAGTGTGTAGAGTTTTTTTTTAATATAATTATTGCTGATACTTTGCTAATGGGAGATAAAAGAAAATGTAAAATGAAATACAGCCTTTACTTTTGAGTTCAGGATTAATCTCCAAATAATATGCTCCAGATATACTAATTACTACATGGAGAAATTAATGTGCGGAATGCTATTGGAACTGCATAAATCATATGGTTCATAGTATAAACTTTTAGATTTGAGTTTTAAATGATATTATCTTCGTTAAGGTCTACTTTATAGTTTTGACAGGAATCTTCTCATACGCTTAGTGTCTTATTTATAAGGACTTCCTATTGTGATATATTTTGACTTCTTTTTTATACCTTTGTTTTATTTCTTCTTTTATAAAATAAATTGCATTCAGGTTACTGTAGAAGTACTATTTATAGTGGAAGTAATAAGAAGTGGCAATGTAGTAGAACTCAATACTAACGGTAAATGAGGAATGTTGTTTCCATCATTAGCTGACTTTATTCATTTCTTTGTAGTGTGGAAAACTTTGACAAGTGGAGGAGAGTTAACAATATATTTTCTTATGTTGAAATCAGCTATAAAAGTTTAGCATAAGACTGGCAGCATGGATCCAAGAGATAGAGCATTTGGGTATATTCTCAATGATATTGATAGGTGTGTTATTTATTGTTTTTTTATTTTTTAATTGATCAGGGTGTTATTAATCACTAGCTTCATGTTCGTTTTTTCATTAAGATTGAATGATTTTTGATATTTTCAGGCATCTCTTAGCTATCTACTCGAAAAAAAATACCAAATAAAGAAAGGCATGCAATCGTATTCTTATATAGGTTTTCCGTATTGTTGTTCAGGTTTAAAATAAAGATATACATGTGTATTGTATGTAAAGAGAGATTCTTTTATAATTGGATACGGCCTTTTCTCTTTTCTTTAGTACATAATATCAATCTTTGTCCTGGCTATTCTTCACCATGTATTATTTTCAAGTTTCGATTATGTTACTCTTTTTTTAGAAGAAAGGTCGTAGATGGTGAAGCATGGTTATTATTTGTCATGTATTTTTGGAAATGGTGATTCTGAGTAGAAGCAAGATGTTTATTTGAGAGAAGGGGCTCAAGAGATGTTAATAGGTTATGCAATGTATGTTCTCATAAAGATCATACGATACCGTGTAATTTTTCAGTTAGATGCAATATAACATCTCCTTAACACGGGAATCACGGGATTTAGTAATGCTTCCTTAGTTTGTAACTTTGTATGTTAATTCTTAAAGAAATATGATTTCTTTAATTTATTTTATATAACAAAAAAAAGCCTAAATCTAATTTCTTTTATAAAATTTTCAATTGTAAATGCAATTCAATAAAAATAGCATTGGAGATAACATAAACAGCTGAGTTCTGTACCGGGGTCCAGGATATACACTACACGCAACAAAGGATAAACGCATAACAAATCGCATGAGAGTTGAGCTCAATACAATAAATATATGATGTCTCAACCGTGCTTTGCACGAATACAATACTAGTGAAAGAGAAATGAAGAATTGAAAATTGCAATAAGGAGAATAAAGAAGGGGTTTGCGGTTTACAGAGTTATTTAGACGATTAACATTGGAGAAAAAGCAATGGATCTAGCCATGGGATGAGCCTCAAATGGTGAAGGTCTATTAATGGTGGTTTAGGTTTGCATTAGGGGAGTGTGATGAGGGATAATTCGCTAATGGGAGATAAAAGAAAATGTACAATGAAATACAGCCTTTACTTTTGAGTTCAGGATTAATCTCCAAATAATATGCTCTGGATATGCTAATTACCACGTGGAGAAATTAATGTGCGGAATGTTATTGAAACAGCTGAAATAATATAGATTCGAAGTATAAACATTTAGAGAGTTTCCTTATATAGTTCTTAAGCATCTTAATGTAAATTACTGCAACTGTGAATTCTGTATAATCTACTTCTACTAGTAACAACTTGTAAATTCTTCAAAGATCTCTGCATATCCTTGGCATTAAATAACTAGCTATATTACAGAACTAACCTTAAGGTTCTTGTCCCAGCTTCCTGTGCACAAGCCACTGCCATCTGCAGAAAGACCAAGGCAACTTATCCTACCTTGATGAGAGTTTTGCAGGGATCCTAAGTTCAAAACAACCTGAGATGACAGAAGCAAAATCAGCCCAGTATTGTTAACATGATAGGAAACAATGCTCACGCTCGCACAGGAATATCAGAAACAATAAAATCATGCAAATGCACATGCACAAACTAATCTAATGATGAAGATTAAACATATCCTTAGCGTACAAGTAATAAGATAAGTTTCATTATTGAATATACTAAGCAACCATTTAGCCTTTGGAAGGATCAAGAGTCAAGACCATCAAGGTTTTCAGATCCAACCCTGCCAATATTAGGTATTGCAACATAAGACTTTGCATTTCCTCAATTCCAAGGTTTCATTTGTTTAATCATCATGTACATTTAGTAGTCTTAAGTAAAATCGGGAATAGCCTCAAACACGACCCCCAATAAAGAATTTTCTTCGTAAAATTTCATACAGACAAATCAAGTGACTGGAATGTTGAGTCAACACAATATAGCAGATATTCCTACTATAGAATAGAAATCATCTCAAGCTTGCACCATGAAGCAAACTGCTCTTGGGAAACAGCATATTTTCATCGATATCCTTCAGTCGCTTATTTAATTATAAATCCTAAAGGCAAGAGAATCTCAGCTGTGTAGGCATTGAAATTCTTAATTATTTCACCACACTATTTTGTAACAGATCTATAAGCTCCTATTTATGCAAATGAATTAATGAATGTGTGATCTTCTGCCCTTAACGTTTGTATAGATCAGAAAGAAATGGATCAAATTTCAACCAAAAAAACTAAAAACTCACAATGTCCTAAGATGCGTCAAAGTAAAAAATATTAAGTAATCTATGCTCACAATTTTCGCTGCATCTAGCTTTTTTTCCCCAACAGAAGAAAAGAGTGCATACCTCGGCCAGTAATGTGTCCCACACATAACAGTCACCATTAGAATATCCAGCGAAGAGAAGTCTTCCTGATATAGAGAAGGCAATAGATGTTACTATGGGCGCATCACTGTCATTATCACCATGTTGCTGGCTGTAAATTTGCAGCTGATGCCCTGATCTCATGTCAAATAGCCTACATGAACCATCATCAGAGCCTGTGCCAAATCTTTGCCCATCTGGAAAGAACTTGACAGCATTAACATCCCCCTCATGGCCATGATACGTTCTGACGGCTCTACTAGCTATTCGTACGTCCCATAACCGTGCAGTTGCATCGCATGACCCAGAGACAAACATGTTTGAATTTGAGCTGTTGATTGAGACACTAGAAGAGGACAGCAATAGATTATTCAAAATGAAATATACAAAGTCCGCCAGTTGAGAAAATCAAGTAGCTGAAGAAGGGATGATGATGAAACACCAAGTGCAACTATGTGAAATTATCTGTTAAACGCCTCTATGCTCAAGACCCTATATGGAATGGGGTTGCAGCATACATGTGTATCACTCTCAGTGCCCTATCAGGTGAAAACTTTGACCCTCCCTCAGCCTAAAAGACGAACAACTGAAACCTGAGTGAGGGTAATAGGTAGGAGGGAAGCCGGCCATCTGCCTCCTAGAAAGACACTTTCAGGGTAGAACCCTTGCTCACGGGCTCCTTGAAACAAAGAGACGAGGGAGAAGATGCATATGATGCGCACATCCGGTTTGTGCTGCTTGTTTAACCGTTAACTATACTTGAGCATTTGTCACGATGCATGGACAGTTATATAAACAGCATGAGAATATCGTGAATTGTGATTCCAAGGCCAATAGAGCATATATTATAGGAAAACTACCAAGTTATAAATTAGAAGAATGCCAAGGAAAGATTACTTTAATAAAACTGTTAAGTGAAATTCTAAGATACACATTAATATCTACTCCATGTATAGCCCATTGAAAAGTCACAAGTACCTTAGCACATCGGCTGTGTGTCCTGAGGGAAATTCACCTCCAAATACAGAAATCCTCTGGCCAGTTGTGACATCCCATAAACCACATGTCTGATCACCTGAGCTGGTGATAATACGATTGTCTTGATCTGGGACATATTGGCATGACGATACGTAACCCTTATGCCCAGTGAGAATTCTTGATGCCAGTGAATCGCCTTCTCTGTCAGTTTGAGAATTAAGATTGAAAATAGAACATGCACTATCAAGACCACCACAAGCAACAGATTGGCCATTAGGAGAAAAGGCACAAGTCATGACCCATGGACAAGGAAGCTTTATGTCATGCGTCTTCTGGCTTGTTAAAGCATTCCATACTATTAACCTCCCATCTTGAGAAGCACTAACTATCCGATTCCTTTCAGGAGTCCAGTCCAACGAATATATCTGACAGATACCAACGCAAGATATGAGTAGAATTCTTAGTGTGGATTTTTACCAGTATTAAGATTCTGTATCACATCCTCATAAACAATTAATTAGTATGGTAAGTGTAACATTCTGCGCAATAACTTCCCAGGGAGAGATGTGCTTCCTGAAATTGCTTGCTCAAGCACATCTAACTATGAAAAAAAATTCGCGATTCATGCCTAAAAATGCTAGTTATGATTAAATATTGAATTCATATAAATCATTATATACTAACGTTTAGCCGATGTAAGATTATTCACAGATCAGGGTGACAGGGTATGTTACATACCCAATAGAATTTGGCATCCTCGCTAGACGAACAATCCATCAGGGTGTGTCACATTCCCGTAGAGAGTGATATTTTATTTCATACAACAGTTGATTGCATAGAGCACTTAGCTCTGAAAACTTCCTACTGATGTTAGATTGTGATACCGTTTTTAACGCCTTGAGTGAACTTCCCAGGAAGTTACATAACCTGAAAGTAATCTGCTTGAGTATGTTTAACCATGAAATTAATCAGAGGGCTTGAGTGTGTGCCAAATCATAACACACTCATTAAGTGGATCAAGACAGATAATAGATAATTCAGTAAAGAGCAAAAAGGAAACAAATTGCAACCAATAAGTTGTTCTGTAAACAGGTTCACATTCTGTGATGTCGTCAGTAATCTGTTGGGGAGAGATGAACCTCATGCTCTATGACAGTAGGCTTTCCTACGTATCGTCAAGATCTGTAACTTGTCATAGCACTCAAATCTGAGTGGCCTTGGCATCCCAAGATATGTGATCATCAATTGATGATTTGCATATACAAAGACAGACTCTTGTGAGACTTCCACAGGAACCTGAAGGTCGAGGACCCATTTATCATGCACCATTAAAAGGTAGAACCCTGTACTTGGTAGCTGAAATGAACATATTTTTTCTTGGGTAATCTGGAGCTGCATCCATGTTTATTTTGTTGTAATATTCCAATGCCCCTTCGGCAACTTTAGGAACTCAATTTTGTGACCTATCACATCTCAAAGAAAGAGAAAGAGACCTCTTGTAAGCCAATACGCGCAGCTACAGCAATTGATGCATGTATTTGAAATTATTTGGAGCGGAATGAAAGAAAATGAGAATTTTGTAATTGAGGGGCATGAAAATATGTGATTGTAACATAGTAGAACAATGGCCCACAATTACAACTTCAATGCAAATAAGATTACCCGACGAATATTAGGATGCTATGACAAAACAGACATGGGCAACTTGGGAATACCTAAGAAGGATATGTTTCATTTCAGCAATCAAGTACAATGAGCATGTCTACCTTATGACGGGACATGAATCATGATAAGTGAGTTCTGAATGAATTCTCCATATTTAGGTGATGTGGAGGCGAGGTTGCGCCTGTAGCAGCAGATCACCAACTGATGATCATCAGGCTCGAAACGTCGAGGCTGCTCACATTTTAAGTGTCATAACAAGCTAGGTACTCATATTTTAAATGTCTTAACAAGGAACAGGCCCTATTAGGGTGGATGGTCAGTTCATGTGCTAGAAGACTATTGCAAAAAAGCCTAATACTCTGTTCATCTCTTCCAAAAAGATCCTTGAAGACATCACCAAATGTATACCATATTCCCAAATGTGCAATTCATTTCCTTTGAGATCTACATTGAATTCTATATTTTTGTCTTGATGTACTTTGCTAGTGTGTTGTTACATGACATACATCTAGACCTTCAATAACCCAGGTTGACGGAATGAATATGAATAATCTTAGTGACATGCCAACTTCCTATGTAGAGGGACACAAACACTGGCCTCTCTCTCGCTCTCTATCAATCTATCTATCAATCTACATGCACGTATATACACATAATGGATCTATCAATTTATCCACATGCATATACATACACGTAAATCATAATGGATATGAGTTGCCTTATTTAACAAAATGAGCTATCAAGAGATAAAGTGGTGAGATCGACGTTTTCATGTGAGTATCAGGGTACCTCACCATTAGCCTATCTCTTGGTAACCATTTTATGTTGTTGTCTTAGAATGTTAATTAGCACCAGCCTTTTCAAGTCCTTTTCTTTTGTTTCTCCAAGATTTCCATTCAATGAGCTTTACACTTCTTTAGCTTCTTTTCAATATCTCGTTCTTTCGTTATGGGTTTGTTTTTGGTTCCTTTTCTTATGTCATCCTTCTCTATTTGAAAATCGTTCGTTATAAAATAGTCATTATATTTAGTTCCTCATTTCAGACTAGGTTCAGGTTATTTCAATACTTGTTAGAAGACAGTAACCACTGAGCACTCTCCTTTAGGGAGTGCATGTTGCACAAAGAGATGGTTGTCCTTTACATTAGAATGTTTAGTTATGTCTACAAAATTAGCATGTAAAGACGCATGTTTTATCTCTTAAGAGTGGTGCAACATGCTGGTTCGATAATGCATGCAACCAGCAGTCTGAAATCAGCACACGACATTATTTTATTCAAATGAAACACCAATTCAGACCATCACGACACTTACTAGTTTCTAAATGCAATTTTGACAGTTCAAACATACCCAATAGCAAAGAAGTTGAATTTACATCCTGCTGAGCAACAAGATAAGTGATATCCAGGCGGAGCACCATGACCATTGCATGCAAGCGAACTCTCTGATCTACTAACTTTTCAATTAAATGCTTCTCTTTTCCCCCCCACCTTTTTTCCTCTTTTATTTTGTTCCCTTCTGGATCCTCTTCAGTTTAATTGTAATGAATTCTCCAATTAAACCAATTAAACATTTACAAAATTCCCAACTTTCCAAGCTACAACCAATGAAGGAGACCATACGAATCAAGAGATAAGATACGCAACAGGAGAACTCACCTTCCCTGTATGACCCTGCAGAATCCTGCAGCACACCAAATCCGTCGAGCTAAAGTTAATCGCCGTCTTCCCATGGCTTGCCGCATAAGTAGCAACTGCAAGTTCAATCAAATCAATAGATCTCATGGAAAGAAAACAAAAACACAACTAAAACCAAAAAAAAAAGCAAAGAAGTTAAGAATTCACCGTCAGTATCAAGAAGAAGCTGCCTCCTCTGCATCAGCTGCTCTCTCAGAGAATTCACGGTCTCCTTCGCGGCTAAATGCCGCTCTCTTAGCTCTGCAACAGACATCTCCAAACCCTAACCCTAATCGAAGAACAGCCAAGCTGGCCCTCGCATTACAAACTCCTCTCGAAATGCCGCGGGCTGGATTCAAGCCCTAATTTCTCGAATTGGGGGGTGAAATGCGGTAGGGTCGACGTAGGGTTAGGGTTTTCAAATTTTGATTTGAAATGGTCTGGAGAAGGAAATTACGGAGGCAGCAAAACGGGAAGAAAAATGCCCCAGGGACCCAAAATAAGGGGACCCTAATGGGACAGGTGAGGTGTCAGCACCTGGGGGTGCGATTTACTGTTCATGAACAGTAAATCGCACCCCCAGGTGCTGACACCTCACCTGTCCCATTGGGGTCCCCTTATTTAAGGGTCCCTGTAGCAATGCCCAAAGGGGAAGGTGAGGGTGAGACCGCGTTTAAAAGTTGGGCAGAGAGAAGACTGGTTGAAGACGCGGGCCTGTGGGCCGGCCCACGTAACGGTTGATGTATTTGACGACTGGCGGCGATCAGTAGGGGTCCCTGACGGCCAAATATCCCCGGCCTAATCGTGCTTAAATGCCCTACAGATGTTTACAGGAGAATTTTTTTAAAAAAATACCTTTTTCAAAAACATTATTAGTAAAATCGATTTTTTTTTTTTTTGGTTTTTCTTTTTTAACCCAATCTTTTACCCCTACTTATTTAAAAACTCACCCACTTTTCCAAACATCAATACACTCATTTTATCTCATCACACCTATTTTTAAACCGAACATGTATAATACACCTATTATTTGTACTGTATTTACCCAATAAATTAAAAATTTCTAAACTACCATTCATCCCCAAATATAACTTGTCTCTCCCTCCCTCTCTCTCCTCCATTTCACTTTCTCAAAGAGAGCATTCACGGTAGAGCCCTAAACGAAGAAGCTCCCATCGCCTATTCGCTAGGGTTTGAGAGCGCTCTCCCGGTTCGCCCCAAATTCTCATAAATTGCAAAATTCCCATCGCAAATTTCCCCTTTTCCTCTCTAATACTTCAAATTAAGCCCTTAGATCATCGAATTTCATTGCAAGTTCCTCAAGATTTTGTCGGAAATTGAAGAATTCACTTGATTTCGTCAAACAAGTCATAATCTTTTTCTTCTACTTCTTTTACATCAGTTAAAATATTGTTGGAAACTAGAACTGATTAGTTTGTGGAAATCTTGTTCAAGTAAATAATTTCTGTTATTAGTTTTACTTCTTTTATCTTTTTGATTTCTATTATTCTTTTATATTAATTTCTTTTCTAAGTCTCTGTCTTGTTATGGTTTGACTGAGAACGTTTCTGTAATGAATCCTATAGAGTTATTGCAATCAGTTCTTTGAACTTCAGGCTCGATTGATATATTATTATTTTTTCTTTTTTTTATGAACTTCAAATTAATCCCCAAATATAGTTGATCTCTCCCTCTCTCTAGTTTGCATAAACGCACCCTCTCCCTCTTATTTTGGCATCACACTCCTCTCTTGTGCTTTTTTTAGTGCTTCACGACGAGGTTTAACTTTCCGAGAAGAAGAGAGCACTGTCGTAGAGGCTTTTTTAGGTAATTTGACAAATAATAAATTTTCTTATCATGTAATCATTGATTGTGACATTTGTTTGTGCAGAAGCGTAGATTGCGGCATTTTCATGATGGGATACATATATTCCATCACCAATGGCGCACCTTCATTCATTCATCAAAACGATTGTGAACTTCTAAGAGCAAAGATCGCTATTGTATTTGTCTCGGAGGAATCAGAAAATCTGCTAAAAAATGCTTTTACCCAGGAAGTAGACTTTGAATATATATCTCTTGGATGTCCTCATTGTTGAAGTTGCGCAGGAGCTTAGATCTGTGTACTTGGCAGTTTCATTTTGTGTTGATATTGTAGTGTCAATTTTGGGTAGTGTTGATGTTGGACACTGAATATAAATGTCCAACTAACTTTACTATATGTTGTACGTTATGTTGCATAGTGTGTTGATTTTTGTAGTGTTGATGTATAATTGTTGTTTCATGCTGTAATTTTGTTCTTTTTGTTAAAATTGTATCGTTACGAAGTTTGGGTGGTGGTGATTTTGGATTATTTTCATTCAATCTCTATGAATTATTTTCATTCAATGTTATGTGCTTGAATTTAGTGGTTGATAGATATGAATGATGCTCTGAAGGTACACCCTCAATTTTTTAGATTTTGGAAAAGTAAAGCTCTTTATAGTAAAGTGTTGCATAGTGTGATGATCTTTGTAGTTGTTCGCGGGAAAAATTGTAGTTTTCATTGACGTCATTGTACTCTTGAATAATAGTTTATCGATTACAAAAGATCCGGTCTTTTTATAAGATCCGGTTATAACAAAATCAAAAGAAAATGAAAATTACAACTTTCCTTTTATGTCGAACGAATCACGAGATCATGTTTTGCGGTCTCTCGCTTTTGTGGGTTCTTTGCCTGCGCCGGGGTTAATCCGTGGACCACCGCGCGATCTTGATCCGGTCGGATCTACACGGTATGACAGGTGTTATTTCACGAAGGAAATAACAGTCGGGGGTACTATTTTGCCAAGGAAATAATAGCCTTTAGTAATCGAAATCGACCAAGCGAAATCGAGACTCTTCTCGGGATCAAAGGCCAAGCTTTGATCCGGAGGGAAACCGTGTAGATCTCAGATCTGATCTCTCTCGAACTCCTACCTTATTTGGCGTGGATGATCGCCAAGAACCAGATCTGAAAGTCGAGTCTTCAAAGCTTCGAAAGTTCAAGTCCAATTCTCAATCCAGCAGAGTTTCGGCTCCAAAAAACCAACCTCCAAAACAATGAGCCACCAAGCCTATTTATAGGCATTTAGAACCAGATCTGGGCTCAGATCTGGGCCCCGAGCCACCTAGAGGTGGCTCGATTTTGGCCGAGTCCTCCAGGTGTTGTGCCGTGTTGTCCGTTGTCCGGTTTTATGGTTTCGCGGTTTATCCAAGTTTTATTGTTGATCTGGACTCTGATTTGGTGTCCAGATCCTGATTTGGCAGTAAATCTGCCTTGGTGTTTGAGTTCGAATCTGTTCTATGGTTGAATGACTCGTTGACTCCCCGAACCATTGGCTTGATTCCGCACGCGAATGGATGCATTCCGTTGCTTGCGTGCGATTCGTTAACCTCGTCGCCTCGTTAATCCGCTTCGTTGCGTGTCACTTGGCTTCGATGTCGTGGACATACTTTGGATATGATTGTCCCAACCTTCAGTCGGTGTAACGGGACTTTGGAATGGCTTCTGTTCTTGATTCCTTCAATCCTTCAGACTATTCGGTGCTTCGTCGAATGTCTGTAAGGTTTCCGGTGCTGCATTTATTGTCTGACCGTTGTCGGAATTTCGAACTTGAAGTCGATTCCTGATTTTTTTGATCTTTAGCTCGTGTTTGCTGGTTCAACATAGAACTGACCATCGATTGTTGGCGTTGAGTTCTCATTTGTGACGCGTTGTCCGGCGTAGTGTTGTTGAGTTATCCTTAAGAATATTTTTTAGAAAAATATTCTCCAGAAACTTCTCAACCAAAAATAGGAAATAGTTTATACTCGTATACCTTATTGGAGTATTAAGAAGCAGTTTATACTCGTATACTTTTTGGAGTATTGATTCTTTCATTGCAACGCATTGATAGGCGTTGACCTAGGGTTACGTGTTGACCTTAGGGTTTTGAACGTCGTACGTTGACTTTTTGATCGCAACGCGTTGACTGGCATTGACCTAGGGTTACACGTTTGACCGGCGTTGACCTTAGGATTTTGAACGTCGTACGTTGACTTTTTGATCGCAACGCGTTGACTGGTGTTGACCTAGGGTTACGCGTTGTCCGGCGTTGACCTTAGGGTTTTGAACATCGTACGTTGACTTTTTGATCGCAACGCGTTGACTGGCGCTGACCTAGGGTTACGCGTTGACCGGCGTTGACCCTAGGGTTTCGAATGTCGTTAGATGCTCAAGTCACGAGACCAACTAATGAAGCTGATGCGTCAGTGACTCTCGTATTTATAGGATTTTTGGCAAACCCTCAGCCATCAACGGGTTTGATGAGCCTTTACCGACTACCGTTTGAGTCGGGCTAGCATGCGAATTATCTAAATCCGTTCCGCATGTGATGTTGTGCTAAGGTGTTCTTTTTAACGGTTAAGAACTAACCGGCAGCGCGGGTTAGGCGCAGACTTATCCTTGCTTAGGTTTCAGGATAGAATACCCCAGAATCGAACTCTGGTGTCTTTTTCTACGGGGAAAGACTAAACCGGCGACGCGTGTTAGGCGTCGACATATCCTTTCTTAGGATTCAGGATGAAATTCCCCATACATGTAAGGCATGGATTTTGGTGTTATTAATAACAACCTGTCACAATGTTGAATATGTGAACGGGTGTTCTTTTTAACTGTTAAGAACTAACCGGCAGCGCGGGTTAAGCGCAGACTTATCCCTACTTAGGCTTCGGGATAAAATACCCCAGAATCGAACTCTGGTGTCTTTTTCTACGGAAAAAGACTAAACCGGCGACGCGTGTTAGGCGTCGACATATCCTTTCTTAGGATTCAGGATAAAATTTCCCATGCGTGTAAGGCATGGATTTTGGTATTATTAATAACAACCTGCCATAATGTTGAATATGCGGATGTGTGTTCTTTTTAACGGTTAAGAACTAACCGGCAGTGCGGGTTAAGCGCAGACTTATCCCTGCTTAGGTTTTAGGATAGAATACCCCAGAATCGAACTCTGGTGTCTTTTTCTACGGAAAAAGACTAAACCGGCAGCGCGTGTTAGGCGCAGACTTACCCCTTT